GGGGGGCACCGTGGAAGCAGCCGGCGCTCGCCGCACCGGGTACACGTTTCTGGTATTAACATCTGCATATTGCGTTTCTTTTTTACAAAAAATGCAAAGGTCGACATGCTGACATGGGTGTCCATCGTTCACGAGGCAGTGCACTGGTTGATTGCGTTCAATCGGTCCCATCAAGGGCGTACGCACACCAGCGCGCGGAACACAGAATGGAGGGTCATGTCGTGCCTGTGTTCGAGAAGGCACACACACAGGGTCATGTATCCCTCGTGGTACCCAGCAACCCTCAAGGAGACCGTAGCGCCCCTTGCATATACGATTGATATATACTCAACTCCTTCCTTTCAGACAGACTATTTTGCCGGTGTCGTCGTTCTTTGCAGTTCACCCCGTGCGCCAACGGCAGCAGCACGCCAAAACATGAACAAGCAATATACTCGTACAATGGTTTGTTTTTGACATGTTTCGATGTCCGAGCGGACGGTGTGCGAATCCACGCCAGCGAACACGGGCACCGCAGCAGTGCAAGTGTATTTGTAAACCACTCACCTGCTGTCAGAACTGCTATCCTATGCGAAGCCCCACACTGCGCACTGCAGTTCATAGTTGTGTTTGTATTGTCTCTCTTATCTATACTGTTGTCGATGTCCTCGAACGTGCGGCTTCTTCAAAACATACGTGTGACTATTACATATTTACGCTGCGGTACCGCTGTGTCTCGGTCGGCAGATTTTGGCCCACGGTGCGTGGCTCAAAATGGTGTTTGTGGCGGCAGCAAGTGGAGAGTTTCCATGTTTCCTCTGAATACGTTGCTGCCACTCCAGCTGTACTGCGGTTATACTGGGTTTGTGAGTTAGTACTGAAAGCAAGAGGGTGCGGTGGAAAGCATGTGTTGTGATGACAACAGCAGTAGTACAGGTATGATTTCTCCTACATATCGCTGCTGTGCCATCACAACAAAAACAAACCAAGTGTGCCGAAGGGTGCCGGAGGGTGTATCATGGTGCATTACTACCACAACAGCGACAGCAGCAGAGAGAGTTGAGTACAGAGCGATCAGGCCGCGGCGCAAAATACGGTAGATATTCACGCCCACATCCAATTCGTTTGATTATTCAAATTTCGAATTACAAAATATCTCACTATCTCTTCGCTTCTGGCGGTCTTGTTCAGAAAATGGTAAAAGTAACGTCTCGAGCTTGCGTCATCCTCCTCAATAGTCTTACCATGCTCTCCAAGTCTATGCCCGGCACCGCAAGTGTCTGTGTGCTCGGCGTTTGTTGTGGTGTTTGGGGTCTTTTCCCCGCTGTTTTCATGGGGGGGGTACAACACATCACGGCGCCCCTGCGGTGCACGTGGATCGTGTCAGCAGCAAAGCACAGGAGCAGCACTGACTGTCAGCAAGAGGTTTGCGAAGCAGCTAACCACGAGAGCTTCAACAGGGACGCTGCTAGCGATTGGGAGTGCGCCACCAGAACGTGCTGGTAAGTCACGTCTTGCGCTTCATGCAATAGCATAGACTACGAGCTGCTGGATACTGGCGCAGCAGGCGAGGCCGCCGCACACAGCCGATATCATCGGAGAGAGACAGCTGGGAGAGCATGGTCAGGCGGAGAAGGGCGACATGCGCCGTGGTCGGGATGCTAGCGTCCACGTCTGTGGTGGCGACTGGACCGCCGTCGGCATGGACTGGGTATCCGCAGGTACACACCCTCTGGCCCGTTGTTACAATATGGCACATCAACCTGCCGCCACTCAGTTCAAACACCGCCGCGGCTGCCCTCTGTCAGCCAACAGCATGTTCGTTTACTCCCGTGTGATCCTGTATCCGAAGACACAGCGGTTGTGGGCGATCTGTGTTGATACACAGGGGGGGTTCGTTGTTTTGTCTAGAGGGGAGGGTCATGAACGAGACGTCAGGTATTTGATGGACATTTTTCGTGATACAAGCAGTAAAACACGGAGCACGGCAGCCGTAGACACCTCCGCGGGGCACACTCTATATGGCCTGTGGTTTTACCACCGTATGAGATCGTCCCACTACATGTTTGCTTAGCCGGCTGCCGCTGCTGTGCCTGGAGGGCAGCAGGTTCGACAGGCACTTCGTGCCACCAGTCTTTCTAGGACCGCTTTTCACCACTCGGTAATGTGTGCCTCTCCGGTTGTTGTGGTCGGTCGGTTTAGCGCTACCTTCACGACGTTTCTGCTGAGTGACTTGTGTGCGTACCATCGCTGACTGCTGGATTGGTTGTTGCATAGAGGTTGGGCGTCGGGCAACGGGGACGCTCGTTGTGTTCGACCTGCAACAGAGCCATGTGTCAGCTTGCGACCAGAGTGGAAGTTCGTTGAGCGACAAGTCTTGGTTGTCGCCCAGTTAGACGGAGGACCCAACAGAACGAAAAGCAGGTGTAGCAAAGGCGGGGTGTTTATTTCTTTTTTCGCTCTTGCATAAGTCACGTTTCGACACCCAGCAACCGAGCGAGCAAATCTCCCAATGGTGCTGCTTTTTGGAACCTTCCCCTGCTTGAAAAGAACTAGACCCATTTGAGTGCTTCCGTAGACCAGCCTCCCGGGGCCACTTTTGACCTGAAGAACATAATCCAAAAATGGTCCTGCGGGTAGATATATGAAACCAAGGGTAATTTGGCCACAGCAGCATCGAAAAACAGGCGGCATAAACGGCGAAAAGGCCAGCCCTGTCCCCCCCGCCATCTCCAGAGTACCGGGGCGGCATCTACTATTTCGGGTCGTCATGTATTGCAAATCACACAACCCATCCAATATTCCAACCATCGCCTTATCCCCAAAGTGCCCTGTATTCCCCCGCCCTATTGAAGCCAACATCAAACCATGATTAGGCTACTCAGCGCTGGCTAGTCTCATGGTTTGATTTCGGCTTCAATAGCCTACAAGCCTTTACCGAAGTCCCTCCTCTGTGACCCTTGGTTTCCTTTCCAGCAACCGCGAGCCTCGCCACAAGAGAGCGACGGAGCACGGGACGCGTCAGCGGCGGCAGCGAGAGGTTGGGCCCGAAGCCAATCCTCCCGGTTACGAGAGGGGTCTCCGCGGATGGAGGCCAGGAAGGAGTCCCCCACCTCCTCGCAGCCACGAAGCAGCTCTAGCAGCAGCGGCGGCGTTGGATTTGTTAACAATAGCGGCGGAGGTGGGGGTGTTGATGTCGCGCCGAGGACAAAGGAACAAGGGGACGGCGGCGGCGGGGCAATAGCAGCAGAGGAGGATAGAAGCAGTAGTGACCGAGGCGGTGGGAAGGAGGAGAGGGACGAAGACGGGCGGTTGCAGCGGTCGCCGTCTTCGGAAGAGGAGGCGTTTTTGTTGGAGGAGGGGGAGGCGGGGGGGGCGCCGTCGATGCACGTGGTGAAGCGGGACGGTCGCCGCGAGCCTGTCATGTTCGACAAGATTACGGCTCGCATCCGGCGGCTGTGCTGGGGGCTTGACGAGCGCTACATCGACCCGGTCCTCGTGGCGCAGAAGGTGACCTGACCCAGCATCCGCTTGAGTGCCTCTGCCTTTTTATTCCTCGCCCTTTCGATTTAGTTCAATTCATCCACGCAGCTTTGAAGCTCTCTTGCTGAAGCCATTCCGGTCGAGCGGAGGTCAGAAGGCTTCCTTTCCCTCCGTCGTTTCTCCTGCGATGCATGCCTCTTCGATTTCTCGCCACAACGGTTGCTTGGAGATACCTATTGCAGCAAGTGCGGGTTATCCAAGTTGTTAGGAATGTTCTTCTTCAGGTCAGCAACTGGCATTTTGGGATATGGCCTGTGGCCTTTCGGAATGTCCTGCGAAGTTGGCCAGGACGAGGCGGTACCGTCCGGACACAAGCCCAGAACGGTGTTTTTCTTCGAGGCGACAGCAACAAGGACAACAATATGAACAACAACAACAACAACAAAGACGAAAAGCAGAGTTGCCGAAGAGGGAGGCTAGCTACGTCATCACCCGGCGTCACTTGGGAGTATGGGAACTGTGGAAAGAGGCAAACGCGGCAATTTCCTATCGTGCGGGTCGGTAGCGACGCCAGCATGTGGGAGCGGGACCCAGACGCTCGTCCTTCATCACCCCCCCCCTCACTAAAGTATATTCCGTCACCCCCAAACCCTGGCAGCGCGGGCGCAGCAGCCGCTCCAAGCGCGACATTCTTCTTCTCATACCAGTATGTACTCTCGTCGTTATTGCAGGTGGTACAAGGGGCCTGCGGCAGCATGGGAAGTGGACACCCACACGCTCGCCCTTGCCACCTACAGTACCTCCATCTAGAGGACGTATGCCATCACCCCCAACCCCGGTCATCCTAAACGCTATCCTTGTCATCTCTTATTTTGGATCGTCATAGGTCGTGCAAGGCATCTACAGCAGTGGTTTCACCACTTGGGACACACGTACCACCACACCCCAAAACAACCCCGTTCGCCCCAAGCGCTAAATAGATACCCACTTCATTCTTCTCCTCATCCCTTTTTTTGGTGATCGTCGTCGCAGGTGGTGCAGGGCATCTACAGCGGCGTGACGACGTGGGAACTCGACACCCTCGCCGCCGAGACCTGCGCCTACATGAACACGGAGCACCCGCACTACGCCCGGCTGGCGGCGAGGATCTCGGTATCAAACCTGCAGCGCGCTACGAGCCCGTCCTTCGCCGATACGGTGGAGGAGCTGTACGCCTACGTCGACCCGAAGACGGGCCGACAGGCGGGGTACATCAGCGACGAGGTAGGGGGGAAGGGGGGGGCGTGGGCTGGAATGATAATCGAACAAGCGGGGGAGGGGGGGGGATCCGTTGTGTAGATGCCGACAGGCGAGGTACACCAGCAACGAGGTGCGGGGGTCCCGTCGTTTGGCACTTTCGTGTGAAACTCCGACAACCAGGGGGGGGGGGG